GGGGGGGGGTGTTCCTGAAGCCCCCAAATAAAACTCTGGATCCGCCACTGCAGGTGTATATGTATTCTTGTAGATGTATATGTACTCTTGTAGATGTATCAAATAGTTCAATAAACATTATTATTGGTCAAAGCTTTTATTTTACAATAAATTAATAAATACAAGGAAGTATAATACTCGGTGTCAAATATTTATAACTAAATGAATGACTTTCACCTACCACTTTGAAGTTTTCTATTTTGTTAAAGTAGATTTTTTTGTTAGTGTAGGTACATCACATTTGTCGGAATTACAGTTGAGATTAAGCTTTACCTCTCAGTCGTCATCAAATGTCGTTCAAGGTCAAGTGACCGTGGCGGCCATCTTGGATTTCATAATTAGGTGCTATTAAATAGGTAATGCAAAACGTCGACTATAGTCGAGTTTGGCGCTCCTATCGCCCGTCGATAAAAGTCGACTATGGCGCCGAAAGAGTTAAATAAGCAAAACTATTGCTATTGAAATAAGATAAAGTATATACTATTTGCTATCTTTATAAAAAGATAGCTTTCGCCAATAATCTTCCACTTGAAATATTAAAACTAAAAGTATAATGTGAGTTCGGGTAAACCAAATTAACATTTCTGTCCAAGGAACAATCTATGTCAATCTCGAATTTCATAAAACTATGTGAGATATCTTATATGGTATATGAAATATCTTATGTAGTATATGATATATCTTATATACTTTATAACATATACGGACCGGGAAACATTCATCCTAAAGTATTATAGGAATCCGCAGATATAATCAAAAATCATTTGTGTGATAATTTCAACAGTTCGCTTGAAAGCGACCTCCCGGATGGCTGGAAAGAGTGACAGATAACAGCAATTCACAAAAAGGGCGACAAAACGTCTCACCAGTGAAATAAGTAAAATCATGAAAAAATTATAAGAACAAGAATAATGGACCACTTGGAGAGAAATAATTTATTCAGTAAACCAATATGGGTTTTGTCAAATTTAAAGGACATTATATCTTAGTTTATTGTATATAAATGAAGAATGGACGTTATATCAAGGTTTTACTTTATATATATTAGCAAAGGGCATTATATCGATGTTTATTGCATATAAATGAAAAAAATAGACGTTAAATCGGAGGTTCACTGTGGATATATTAATAAGGGACAATGTATCGATGTTTCCTTTATAAATACATTAACTAAGACATTTTATCGAGGGTTGTATATATATATATATATATATATATATATATATATATATCTGAACTAAGACATTATAT